AAGTGTTGTCAACCCCCGCACCCCCCACATTGCCTCAAAATGGCCTATTAACATATGAAAAGGTGCTTTATCTCATTAATACCACCAGGGAAACACAAAACTACAGATACTACCACTTACCTACCAAGATTACTAAAGCTTGAAAAGACTGACAATACTACTAAGTGTTGAGTGGGAAAAACAGTAACTAAACTCTCATACCTTGTTTGTTAGAATGTAAATTGGTACTACCACTTTGGAAAGCTGTTTGGCAAGATCTACTAAAGTTTAATATGTGTATATTCTATGACACATAAATTCCACTCCTGGGTATATACCCAAACTGCATAGATATGTCCACAAAAACACATGTACAAGAAATGTTCTTAGCAGTATTAATCCTAATAGTCTAAAGCTGGAAACAACCCATGGGTCAATAATAGAATGGATAAATACTTAGTGGTATAATCAGGTGATGGAATACTATACAGCATTGAACATGAACAATTACTGATATACACACAACATGGATGAATATCACAAACACAAAAGATACAGTATGATTCCATTTATATAAAGTTTAAAAACTGTTGGCGCTCACGCCTGTAATCCTAGCACTCTGGGAGGCCGAGGCGGGTGGATCGCTTGAGGTCAGGACTTCGAGACCAGCCTAAACAAGAGCAAGACCCAGTCTCTACTAAAAATAGAAAGAAATTAGCTGGACAGCCAAGAATATATAGAAAAAAAAAATTAGCTGGGCATGGTGGCACATGCCTGTAGTCCCAGCTACTCGGGAGGCTGAGGCAGAAGGATCGCTTGAGCCCAGGAGTTTGAGGTTGCTGTGAGCTAGGCTAATGCCATGGCACTCTAGCCCTGGTAACAGAGACTCTGTCTCAAAAAAAAAAAAAACTGTTAAGGGTAATCTACAGCGTTAAAAATCAGGTTACCTTCGGGGAGAAGGGAGGGGAGTGACTGGGAGATGGCCTGAGAAGGACTTCAGGACTGCTGGTAATGTTTTCTTGATAGGAACGGGTATTACATGGATTTGTTCACTTTATAGTAATTCAAACTATACACTTATAATTTCTGCATTTTTCTGCATGTGTGTTATGTTTCAATAAAGTGCTTTAAAAGATAGCATTAATTTATAGTAAATCTAGTTTTTCACATCATGTGCTTATGCATTTGATTTTGTTAGAAAGTCTAAAAACAGCACTTTGCACTTCTTTTTCTGGAATTTCATTGTTATTTCAGTTGATTAAGGTATTTTAAGATCCTGGTTCTGTCATTCATTAGCTTTTCCTCCAATTATATTTTGTTAACTTTATTTATTTAACCCCAAACTTTATTAAAGTAAAATTGACAAAAATTGTACATACTTATGGTGTACAGTATGATGTTTTGATATATGTATACATTGTGAAGCAATTAAATCAAGCTAATTAATATATCCATCATCTCACATACATATCCTTTTTTTGTGGTGAACATTTAAGATCTACTGTCTTAGCAATTCTCAAGTGTACAATACATTATTAACTATCATCATCATGCTCTACAGTAGATCTCTGGAACTTATTCATCCTGTATAACTGAAACTTTGTATCTTTAACCAATATTTTCCCATTCCTCCCACCACACTCTAGCCCCTGCCAACCACCATTCTACTCTCTGCTTCTGTGAATTTGACTTTTTTAAATTCCACATATAAGTGAGATCATGTAGTGTTTGTCTTTCTGTTCCCGTCTTATTTCACTTAACATAATGTCCTCCAGGTTCATCCATGTTGTCACAAATGACAAGATTTCCTTCTATTTTAAGGCTGAATAGTATTCCATTGTATATATAGACCACATTTTTTTGACTATTCATTTGTTGATGAACACTTAGGTTGATTTCATATCTTGGCTATTGTGAATAGTGCTGCAATGAACATCGGAATGTAGATATCTCTTCGACATACTGATTTCATTTCCATTTAGATATATACACAAGTGAGATTGATGGATCATATGGTAGTTATGTTTTTAATTTTTTAAGGACCATCCCTACTGTCTTCCCTAATGGCTGTCTTCCAATTATATCTTTATCAAAGTTCTCTAGCATGCCCATGAAGACTTCCTTCTGAGTTGATGTTGGAACACTAATCGATATCCTTTAGGTATGATCGTTAACCACCTAACTATATTTTCATCATTCCTATTACACACAAGAATATGAGAAATTTGGTCAAATGCCTTGTTAAAGTCAAGATATAGTTTGTCTATAGGATTCTCTTGATTTAAAAGTTTAATAACCCCATTTTTAAGAAAGGAAAGAAGGTTAGCTTGCTCTTGGCTGTGAATTCATTTGACTCCTTTTAATCACCTCTTGCTGATCTAAATAACCATTGAAGCTGCTCACAAATACTCCAACTCTCTCTCTCTCCTGTTGCATACATGGTAGGATTGCCCTTGTCTGCCTACTTGAAGTTAGGTAGGTTTGTGTAACTCGCTTTGGTCAATGTCATGAGTAGAAATGAAATATGTCACTTCTGGGAAGAGAATGTGTGTTCCGTACTGCATCGTCTTTCCCACTGCCTTGGCAACCAGAATGTCCCAGTGCGGGTCCCAAAGCGAAGGCAACAACAGAGGAGAGCCCCAGCCAACCCGCAACAGACACGTAGTATGAGCAATAGCCTTTATTAGTTTAAGCCATTGAGATTTTGGGGCCATTCGTTAAAGAAGCATAAACTAGATTATCTTGACTCATACATCATATTTATCAGTCTGTGTTTTCTGGAATCCACCACCACCTTTTGAAATTCAGAAGAAAATGGGCCCATCTGCAGTTTTCTACCCCATCTGTTGTTCTCCACTATTTTTTGAAATTACTGACATTACATCTTTCAGTTCCTTAAATATTTGAGGATATAAATTGACTGGGGATGGCTACTTGAATTTATTTAAAATGACTGGCTAAGTGCTTTATCACTACTTTCTTAAATTTCGATTCTTTCTTAGCAATATTTTTATACTTTTCAATTCTCCATGGGGGAGAAGGCAAAAACGAAAGAAGAGTTGTGTAGTATACCATATTTAAGCTTTGTCCTTATTTCTCTTTCATTAGTTTCCTTGCTTTCAATAAAGCTTAAAATCTCTGTTTTTTTTTTAACTTTGGCATTTTCCCTAAGTCTCAGCTCATTCTGGGTATTCAGTTTTCTCACACTCTTCTTAAAAGTTCATATAGCACTTATCAAATTCGCCATCTAAAATTATTTATTTGCTTTACTTATTTTCTATTAACTGTTCCTAGTACATGCTATGGTCTTTATTGAGTTTTTAATGCTACCTTTTTTTTTTTAAACCGTATATGTTTCTTCTATCTTTTGTTCACTTCTTAATATTTGAATTTACCAGGGCTTTTCCTTTTAAAGGTTATCCAATATCTAATATTTAGTACTCACTTTTAGAGGTTTCTGTACATTTTAAAGTTTGTTAAATATACTAATGTTTTCTCTGGCATTTTTTTTAATGCTTTCCTTAAGTCTAAGGAATATATGTGATTATCTCACATTTTTCTTCTAATACATTTATGTATCCAAATATGACCAATGTTTGGTTGAAATTGCCAACCAGTTTCTTCCTGCTGGTCAGAATTAAACCAACAATAACAATTTCTTTTTTTTTTTTTTTTTGAGACAGAGTCTCATTCTGTTGCCTGGGCTAGAGTGCCCTGGTGTCAGCCTAGCTCACAGCAACCCCAAACTCCTGGGCTCGAGCGATCCTCCTGTCTCAGCCTGCCAAGTAGCTGGGACTACAGACGCACACCACCACGCTTGGCTAATTTTTTTTATTTTTTTAGTTGCCCAGCTAATTTTCTCTATTTTTAGTAGGGATGGAGTCTCACTCTTGCTCAGGCTGGTCTAGAACTCCTGACTTCAAGCAGTCCTCCCACCTTGGCCTCCCAGAATGCTAGGATTACAGGTGTGAGCCAACAGGCCTGCCAACAGTTTCTTTACAAGAAAAAAATCTCTTATTTTCTTTATCACCTATTCCAGAAACTTGGATGGCACTGAAAAAGTTGGGGATGCTATTACTGTTCAGGCTGGTAGAGCATGATTTTTACAACATTTGGGCATGGGCATTTACTCTGCCCCAGCAGCTACAGGAAGGAAGCTACTTAGGAAATCCTAGTTTTCTCTGAACTAACTGGGCAGCAAATTGAAATTTCAACATTTCCTACTTACAGTTGAAGGCTGTCCAGCTTTCCAGCTGTCACACACACACACACCGTTTCGAACTCTTTCCCTCTCTATATTTAACATTATAACTTTATAGACTTAATCTCTTGTCTATATATAACACTCTACTCACCTTCATATAAATATTCAAATACACACATAAACTACACCTTTTTTTTTTTTCGTGAGACATGGTCTCACTCTGTTGCCTGGGCTGGAGTGCAGTGGTGTCATCATAGCTCACAGCAACCTCAAACTCCTGGGCTCAAGCGATCTTCCCACCTCAGCATCCCAATACGTTTTTTTTTCTTTTTTTAAATTTTCAAAATGTAGGGAGAAAAAATAAGAGACCAAATGGGACGGGGAGGAGAAAAGGAAACATGAGGATAGAAGAGAAAGGAGTCTGGCCTAAGCGAGCAGTGCTAGGGGCCCCCAGCCCCCGGCCTTGCCCTGTGAGGGCTTACCCCTTCCAGAACATGGGTGGGCCCATTCAGCTGCCCTCTTCCATTTCAGCCTCTTTGTGATGGTGCTTGTTTAGGTAACAGCTATTCAGGGTTGGAGGGCTTTTCCTCTGAATAGAAAATTGGCCCTTTTGGAGTGTGACTCCACAACTCTGGCTTTACCATTCAATCACTGAAATAAGCAGTGCATAGATTAGAACAAAGCAACTGGAGAAAAAGCAATAGGAAAGTGAACGAATGAACAAGTCAGATGTCATCTATTCCCAACTTTTCTTTCTAGAAGACCTATCTGGGGACTGCTTCCTGTCACCATAAAATACTGAACACTAGCCTTGAACATGAACGCTCAACAGGAAGAATTACGGGACCGGGCCATCATCAAAATAGCAGCTCATTTACCAGACCTCATTGTCTATGGAAATATCTCCCCAAAGCGACCCTCTGTGGATTATTTTGATGGAGTCCTGATGTTTGTTGACATTTCAGGCAAGTGCAAAGGGATGTTTGATTAATGGGCTGAGCAACAGGTTCACATCGGAATGTACACGCAGAGCTCAGCCTGATTACAGAGTGGGGAGGCTGTTATCCAGCCCCCAGGCTGTTGCAGCAGATGTCCTCCACTGAGAACTCAAGAGGGAGGGGATAACCTCTGGCCCTGGCTCGCTCTCATCTTCTCTTACCCCACGCTTCCAGTCATGGGCGTGTCTTTAAGATGCCCACGTCCCAGGCCTGGAACTTCAGGTTCTGACGTCCCTGCCCCAACTTCACTAACGCATCCCCCCAAGTCCCAAGCCCCACACCCATCCCCCATCAAAATTGACCTCAGAAAATGATCTCCCTAGATGATGTTTACATCTTAATAGTAAACTTGCCACCTCTTCAGAAGTATTTAAAATGGGTGTGTGTTCATTACCCTGGAATGAAAGTTCTATTCTTAGTTAAAGGAATTGCAGTCATGGCTGGACCGCTGAGAATTTGGAAGAAAGGACATCTGGAGCCTTTCCCTGACCTCTAAAATAACAAACACAGAGGGGGCTGCATGTCTGACACTTGATTAGCCCACAAAGATCATCAGGAAGAAACTCCGCCAGTTCCTAGAAGCCAAGGCCCACTGCTTTCCAGCACAGCCCTCTTCCGGCTCCGTTTGGTTCTCCCAAGCAGCCAAGAAAATCAGCCGCACATTTTTTACAGGTTTTACCGCGATGACTGAGAAGTTCAGCACAGCCATGTACATGGACCGCGGGGCTGAGCAGTTGGTGGAGATCCTCAACTGCTACATAAGTGCCATTGTGGAGAGTAAGTCTTCCCGTGGGCTCCTGGCTCAAGGATACTTCAATGCATTGCTTTTTCCGTAGCTGTTGGCTATAACCTGGTAGAGCAGAATTGCTTAGCACTCCTCATGTTCCCCATGAAGCGTGTACGAAACCAGTCTTTTTTGAAACATGATATAGTACAGCTGAAGAAATATAATGAGGTCTCACTAATAGAGACTATTTGAGAGAAAGGATGTTTTGGGGTAAAGGGCTGAATTACAAACTGGTTTTAAAAGAACTGTGGTAGTAATACTTTTATTATACTCAATATGGTCAAGTGTTTTAAAAAGCTAGCATCACTATAACCCAAACATAGAGACTGTATAAATAGAAAAGAGTGATCTGCAACTAATTTATCAATTCGTCTCCTAATGACGGACACTGAAGCACTGACAGCTGACTGAAGTTTAGTCCCTTTTCGACCTCTGACTGCCGCCTCGTCTGCATTGCTCATTTGAACTATTATTCAGGAAGGGAAGATTTTACTCTGTTAAGGTAAACTCCAGGCTTTCATGTCTTAGTAGGCTCTAAGTTCCCTTGGAACATCTTAATGTTACCCGCTAGAGAAAATTTAATGCTCCGTAAAAGCAGAAACTATGTCTAATTCCTTTTTGCATCCCACTCGAAACAACAGGCGCTCAACAAATTTGCGATGACACACAACTAAGAGAAAAAAAAATGTCCATTTATACCATAAAGTCAAAATTAACAAAATGCAAGTTGGTAATAAACAAAACTCAAGTGGACCGTGGTGGTGACTTCCCCATTTCCCGACTCCCCTTTCTCATGCAATCCTGTCACTCAGCCGCCCACCCAAGGCAAGTCTCAACCTGTAACGTATGTTGATCAATAGATCAATAAAAAGCATTCCATTATGTCAAGAGGAAGGCAGTCGTCCTCAGGCGTCCTCAGAAACCTCGCCGTCCTCTTTCCTGTCTTTCCCCATTCACAGCTATGGAGCAAAGACATAACCGGGTTCACCATACTCATTTCACAGTTGAGGAAACAGACTCAAGTGGGTTAAGTAACTTGTCTGAGATAACATCTTTAGTATAAGCCTATTCTCTGAATTGCTGTTCTCTTGAGCCATTTTCGATTCTACTAACGAAGCATGAATTCTTTTTACTAGCTTTAAGGAATCAGGGTTTGATTTAATTAATTTATTTTTTTCCCCCAGAAGTGTTGATTTATGGAGGAGACATCCTAAAGTTTGCAGGTATGGAGGCTAAGAAGGGAGGGGTAAGAAAGGAGTGTTGAGATGCCTGTACTCAAAGGAGGCATCTCAGAGAAAGTAGTGTCCAGGAGGTGGGTTGAGGAATGTTTGATGAGTAAGTTTCAGTACAAATCTCATACAAAATAGACTGAACCCGGCCAGGCATGGTGGCTCACACCTGTAATCCTAGCACTTTCGGAAGCTGAAGCAGGAGGATCACTCGAGGCCAGGAGTTCAAGACCAGCCTGAACAACATAGTGAGACCCCATCTCTACAAAAAAAACAGAAAAAAAAAAATCAGCCAGGCATGGTGGCTCACACCTGTAGTCCCAGCTACTCGGGAGGCTGAGGCAGGAGGATTGCTTGAGCCCAGGAGTTTGAGGTTTGCAGTGAGCTATGATCACACTACTGCACTCTAGCCCAGGTGACAGAGTGAGACCCTGTCTTAAAAAAAAAGACTGATCCCCAGGGAAGGTCAAAGGCCCCCAGTATGTCTCTCTCTTAAAGGTGATGCACTGCTAGCCATGTGGAAGGTGGAGCGAAAGCAGCTGAAAAACATTATCACGGTGGTAATTAAATGTAGCCTGGAGATCCATGGATTATTTGAGACCCAGGAATCTGAAGAAGGCCTAGATATCCAAGTCAAGATAGGTAAGCGTTTGAGAAAGGACAGATGCTACAGCTGTTTGGATATGGGTCTTGACTCCTGGGGCATCTCTCTCCCAAAGGGAAAACAGTAGAACGTGGTGGTTCAAGCCCATCATGCCTTGAACTTTGGAATCAGGCTGACCAGCATGTGAATTTCGGCTCCCTCACTTACCAGTCAAGAGGATTTGGGCTAATCATAATATCTGCCTAATAGGCTGTTATAAAAAGTCAGTTAGTATACTGGCACCTAGTTCTTGGCACCTAGTAACCACTAAACAAAATGGTCTTTATTACTACTATTGCTGTTATTATTATTATATGTTGCTGCTTGTCAAGATTGTGCAGTATAATAAAATAGAGAGTAGCCAGCTGGTCATTACACAGATTCATAGATTCAGCAATGACATCAGACGGGCCATCCCCCGTTTCACAAGAATGATGTGCAAGAAAGGCTTAACAGGTCAGCCGGCAACACAGCTCCAGCTGTACACAGGGCTTCTTAAGGTCATATATATTAACATAATATAGTAACAATCACATGCATTTCCATAGGGCATTGCAGACATCATACACATTATGCCATTTTCTTCACCACAGTCCTGAGACACAGGCATTACTATTTCCATTTCATAGAGGAGGAATGAGACTCTGAGACGTACAAATGAGGAGCAACAGCTAGAGTTAGGGTTGGTGCTGTTGGTGTTCACTTCTGCCCAGCTAAACTTTGTAAAGTTTAGAACTTTCCAGTGTCAGAGCTGATGGGATCATTGGGGTCATGCAATTAACTGCTTCTCAACCTTCTTTAATCTATTCCCCCTTTTGATGTTGTTCCAAATTTCCAAATAAGTTACATATTTTGTTGAAAAAAATCAAAGTTATTATAATACTGAATATTTTTCCAAGTCAACACTCAGGGAGTCTGATGCAGTCTCCTTCCTGAGAATGATGGATGCTGAGTCCCTCACGTACATGACAATTGGCCATTAGAGAGCTGGGTTCCAGCACCCTTTCCTTTAGTGGGTCTAAGCATCAGTGTGTTTGAGACAGAAAACTAACCATGCATAGTATCAGGGGAAATCAGCCTTGACAGATCAGAATAGCAGAGAGCAAAAATAAAAAACCCTTGATTGTATTAGAGTTGTTTAAAAGAAATGTGTATCACGTATAGTTCATTTATACATATATTTTGTATACATGTCGTAATATTGCTCAGGTGCCAAAACCTTCATCTCCCAACTTGAAAGAACCGTTGTTGGGATGGGACACATGACTGTCAAATGCCTATTTCTTTTCCCCCACCGTCTCTGGCTGTTGTCTGACATTTGATCCTAAGGTATTATTTTTAGTTAGAACCTCAATCTTTGATAAAATGCAAATTCTCCCAGAATAGGAATTACTAAAGTTCTCCTCTATTACCCTTAAGTGTAAATAATTGAAGAAAAGGTAAAATAACTTTGGGACTGATAGGATCTTCCAGGGAGATAAATATCCCAGAAAGGCAAAAATTAGTGACTGAACTTTCTAGCTTTGGGAGAAGGGGAGTTTCTGAAGGCCTGGGCCTGGAAGAGGCATTCTCTGATTCTTATGTAAAATTTTAGAAATGAGATTTTGCGTTGAAGTAGTATAGTCCCACCAAGATTCTGCTTTCTCCAAGAACCCATGCTGCTGGGAAGTACCACAGAATTCTTGTGCAAACCTCTTGCTTGCCTTCTTGCCAGGACTGGCTGCCGGCCACATCAGCATGTTGGTCTTTGGAGACGAAACACGCAGCTACTTTCTGGTGATGGGTCAGACGGTGGATGATGTGCGCCGTGCACAGAACATGGCACAGATGAACGATGTCATCTTGTCACCAAACTGCTGGCAGCTCTGTGACCGGAGCATGATTGAAATCGAGAGGATTCCAGATCAGAGAGCAGTTAAGGTAGGCGTGATGCTGCTGTTTGCAGAAAGTTCTGCTAGTCTGTGCCAGAGGCTCCCTGCCAGAAGAGACACTGGCAAGGCTAGTTCAATGGAGCTCCTGGGCTGGAGACTGGGGTGGGGTCAGTCTGGGTTAGGATAAGGAGGCCGTAGTCCAGGACAGCTCTTCTGGGAGGAGCCAAGGCTGGTGCACTCCAGGAGGAAACGATTAGGCTTTTCTGTGGGTAACTTAGGATGTGAAATTTGGGTATTGAGGCTTTTGGGGAGGCTAGTGACCTTGCTGAAGGAAAAGGAAGGATCTGGTGGCTCCCCCAGGAGCAGCAGGGAGTAGTTTAGAGGGCTGCCATTGGCCCTCGCTTTCTCCACCCAACACCCTCCTAACCCTGGGCAAGGGATCACTGAGGGGACAGTTGGAGGTGAGCAATGCAGCAAAGTCCAGTGAGGGAAGAGAGACCTCCCCATGGCTCTGCCTCATAGAAAACACTGTGCTTAAGCTGAAGGTTGACTACAAGCAGAACTGTCCCCGGTATATGGCCAATTAGAGAAACTGTGCTTTGAGGGTATGAAAGGCGAGAAGAGCTGTGCTGCTGGATAAGCCAAAGGAATAGCCTACACGGCAGAAAGAAAGAAAAGACCAGGGATCCGTGGAGGTGCTGGCGAAGAGAGGAGGCAGCCCCCCACGCATCGGTCCACAACCTCAACACCTAAGCCAGGCATAACCTAGCTGGCCCATAGCAGTACCCCACTCCCCATCTGAATTAATTTCAGACTTACAGAAAAGTTGTAAAAATGATACAGAGTTTCCATATAGCTCTCACGTAGCTTCTCTTAATGTTAACATCTTACATAGCCAGTGCAATAGTCAAAACCAGGAAATTAACATTGGTACCATACTGTTCATTAATTAAAGCCCTTATTTGAATTTCACCAGTTTCTGACACTTAAGAGGAATATTGATCAGTTATTTTGTCAAATGTCTCTCTGCTTGGTTTTGCCCGATGCTTTCTCATTATTGGACGAAGTTTATGCACTTTGTTTTGGGAAGAATACCACAGAGATGACATTGTGCTGGGTGTGGTGGCTCACACTTGTAATCCCAGCTACTCAGGAGGCTGAGGCAAGAGGATCACTTGAGCCCAGGAGTTCGAGGCTGCAGTGAGCTATGGTCATGCCACTGTACTCCAGCCTGGGTAAGAGTGAGACTTTGTCTCTTAAAAAAAAGACAAGAAATGAAGTCGTGCCATTCTCAGTGTATCATATCATGGGGTTCATGGTCTTGATATGTCTTATTACTGGTGATGTTCCTTATGCCTCTTTGGACATCAGCCCCCCTTTGTCCTTTAATATTTATAAAAAACAAATACTGTACAGTTTAACCAGGTTTTATTTGAATTAAGATATTATGAAGGAAAAAAAGCAGAAAAAAGTTCTGAGGGTAGAAAAGTATAAAGGTTAGTCCTCTGGAATGGCCCTCTGTGGGTATATGCTAAATATTGAGATCTGAACAAATAATGTGATTGGAAAGACTTTTACAATTTTCAATTTTACCAATTAAAGATCTTTAGTGCTTACATATGCCAACCACTGTTTATCATTTTCTAGACATTCAAAAGCAAACGCTGTGACTTTCTGCTGAGAAATTATACTCAAAGGACTAGACAGCCCTTAGGAAAACCAAAAACTTCTCATTTTATTTTATTTAGGTTAACTTCTTAAAACCACCTCCCGCTTTTAACTTTGACGAATTTTTCACCAAGTGTATGACTTTCATGGATTATTATCCTTCTGGTGACGACAAAAGTAAGTACCCTCCATGGACAAGAGCCTGTGGCCCCCGCAGCGGTCAGCAGGGTCTTAACCCAATGCCAACAGCTCCCTTACAAGTGGCTGGACCCCTCAACATGGCTCCTGGTCCTTACCAGCACTTGAAGGGGACCTGCTTCCCATTCCCCAGAACAGCGATTCTAAGTATGACCCTGCTCACGCCCTCCACCTGTCCCTAGGCACTGACCCTCTTCCCTTGCCTGCCAAACATGTCTAAGTCTCCCTCCTGATGAAAGAAAAAAATAAAGTTCTTAGAATCTATTTCTCCCTCCTAACCATCACCAGCAAACTTCTTGGAAGTGTAATCTCTGTAAATTTATCTGTACCTGTTCTTCTATCTGCTCATTCATTTATTCACCCAATAAACACTGACCGCAAGCACCTCAGGGTCTGTGCTCACCTGCTCCTTGGTCTGCACCCCTCACATCCAGCTTCTACCCTGTCCCCTTCTATCTGCTCATACTGTTTACGTCAAGGCCACCAGTGACCATCAACTTGCCAAGCCAGGTGACCTCTTCTCAGGCCTCATCCTAGGTGTGGACCTTAGAATACTTTCTTTTCCCAGATATTACCTCCTCCTTTTTCTTTGGGTTCAAGAGTATTCTTTTCCAGTTTTGCTTTTACTCCTCAAACCACCTGTGTTCAGTGCCCTTTGCTCAGTTTCCTTCCCATTCCTTAAATGTTGGTGACTTTAGGGATCCGTCTTTGACCTTTTAGTCTTCTCTGCTCAGTAAGCCACTCGTTCATGCTTAACTTTCATATGACCAGGGTGAGGCAAGGGAGAAGCCTGGGGCACAAAGTGTAAGGAGGCATCACTCTTAAGGTCCCACAAATTGCATGCCTCACCTACGTCCTGGTTCCAACTGCCTGAAGTCAGCCCAGTTCTTTGCCCTGAATTCTAGCACAGACTTTTGTCCTGAATTCATAAAAAAAAAAAAAAATTGCCTATGGGCCATTTCCAAGGATGTCAAATAAGCACCCAACATTAACATATCTAAATTTTAAGCCATTTACCCTTCTCTAAAAACTCCTTCATCATCCAAACTAGAAATCTCAGAAACATCTTTGACTCATTTTTCCTCTTCACTTATGTACAGATCTGGAATGTTTTGAATGTTACACATAGTAGATCGTACTTTTACGAAGCTGTATTGGCAACGGCATGGGGTGGGGAGTGGGGAGCTGCAGGGATATTGGTCAGGAAAGGCCAAGAGCCCCGGAAGCTCCAGGTGAGACGAAGGAGAAAGCCCTGTGACCCCCCTGGAGCTTTAGCCCATCTCATCTCCGCGAGCTTAATGGTGCCTCCGTAAAGGGTTTCTTCAGGCCCTATTTTGGGCGCTGCGATACTGCGATGCAACTCTGATGCTAACGACCCGGAGTTAGTGCGGGATGCCATAGGTTGAGTCCTCTGCAGACTCCCTCACTTCAGATACCAGCTGCAAGCTCTGGAATCCCCAGGCCGCCTGAACGTCTGACCAACGCCTACAAATTCGGGGATTTCCTCAGTGCCCTGAGGCTCACGGAACTCAGCAAAGTGCTACACTGAGGGCTGTGGTTTTATTAGAAAGGATACAAACCAGGACCAGCCAAATAAAGAGACACTTGGAGTGGGGTCTGCAAGGGTCCCAAGCACAAAAAGGTTCGGCATCCTCGGGAAGCGTCACCCTCCTAGCACGTCGATTACCAATCAGGGAAGCTCGCCAGAGCTTCGGGGGTCCAGAGTTTTTATTGGGGTTTCATTACACGGACATGATTAGTTGAATAATTGGCCACATGGTCAAACTCAGTCTCCAGCTCTCTCCCCTCCTGGCTCAAAGTCCCAACCTTCTAGTTGTCAATGGAAAAAAAGCCAAACTACGTAAAATAATTTTAAAGAGATTTACTCTGAGCCAAATTTGAGGACCATGACCTGGAGCCACGCCCAAGAGGCCTTGAGCAAGTGGACTGGGTGTGGCTGGGTTACAGTTTGGTTTTATACATTTCAGGGAGACAGGGGTTACAGGTAAAGTCATAAATCAATACGTAAGGAGGCATACATTGGTTTGTCCCAAAAAGGTGGGCCATCTTGAAGGGGGAGGGACTTACAGGTTATAGGTGGGTTTAAAGATTCTTTGGCTTGTAATTGGTTAAAGACATGAAGATTTGTCTAAAGGGTTGGAATGTTTTAACATAGGAGCTGTTTATCAGAGATAAGCCAGTGGACATATATTTGTTGTGTAAAGTGAGGACCTGCAGGTTTGTCTTGCATACCCTTAGGCCTGTTAATGGGTTACAAAGGATGTCCCCAAGAAGGGAGGAGGGCATGATAAGGCATGTCTGACCTCCTTCCATCTGGCAGGCAATTTAGTTTTAGGATATTCCTTTGGCCATGAGGGGGTTCATTCAGTCAGCTGGTGGGGGGGTGAGCCTTAAATTTTTATTGTAGTTCACATAGTCACATGGTTGGTCTTTCTGGCCAGCCACTGTGCTGACTCAGCTCATTAGCGGTAAACTCAGGGGCTCTGGAGGGCCCACCATGAATAATGAAGACTCTCCTATCCCTCAGGAAATTCCAAGGAATTAGAATTTAACTCCCTGGAACTTGGAACAAAGAGCAGCTGAATTCTTTGTTATATAGCAGGCACAGACCTCTCCATAATCACTGTGCCCTCAGGGTCCAGGCCTTTACAACTATTCCCTTCGTCCTGAGCTCCTTTCCTCGGTCTGCCCAATGTCATTTCCTCCTAACCTTCAGTACTCACATCGGACTGTGGCCGGGCTAGTCTTCACAGCCCTTCAACACACTGCTCATTCTAGGCTTTAACCCACATGGTTTGCTCTGCTAGGCACGCCCCCCTCAGTCCTTCTAGTAAAATGCCGTAGGTCAGTCAAGATCTGGTTAAATTCTCGTTTCTCCTGTAAGTGAGAATTTACTTCAGCCTTGGCTGATTAAACCAGCTCATATTGATCACTGCTTCCTCTGAGTCTTGCTAAGTTGCTATAGTCTACTAGCTTGTTTGGTCTAGCTACTTTCATTTTTCTATTTAGGTTTTCCTTACATATTATATTTGAATGTCCAGTGAGACAGTGAGTGCCTCAAGGGAACAGGCCAAGTCCCCTACTTATTCTTTTTCCCCACACCGTGCTAGCATGGTGTTTTAAACATATTAAGTGATCAGTAAACATTTTCAAAGTTAAATTTGTTTCTTATGTCTCTTTCAGATTCTATTTTTATTTTTCATCTCATTTGGTTCACATTATCATTCTATTCCCTGCGGAACACCTCTCATTTCTCGCTCCCTTTTTTAAAAAAAATTTCTTCAAGCTCCTTCCTACCATATCTTATCAGGCTATTCTAGAGCACAGAACTGTCAACCATTATGTTGATAGTAAAGGGGACCACAGTGATAATGAAACCCACCTGGTTTTTGCCCCAGGTGAGGAAACAGGAGACAGCAGGGCCCTGCAGTGACCTGTCCATCACACAGTGAGTTGGTATCAAGCCTGAGATCAGAAGCCAGGCCCCTGAACTTAACTCCTGCTGCTCTTTCAACTCCACCACCCCCTTCTTTCTGTCACCATTCTCCTCTATCGTCACCCCTTCATTTGTCCATTCCCATCTCCTGTGCCAATAGTTTTAGATCAAATCCAGAGGTGAAAATCTCCCCAAGTCCCAAAGCATGATGACAAATAGAGTTTTGAGCTACATGCAATTGAATTTTGGGAAACCTACAACCTCTTTGGATTTCCCTTAGCTCTTTTTGGCCAGTAGGTGTCCCAGAGCCTCCTGACGGAACTGCAAGGACAGGACCACAGCCCAAGGGACTAGGAGGCTCCTCTCTCTAGCACTGCAGAGCCCAGCCTCCCTTTCTGAGCCTGTCCCCTCCTTCTGCCCTCCTAGACCTCCTGAGGCTTGCGTGCATGCTGGAGTCTGATCCTCATCTGGAATTGTCCCTACAAAAGTACGTGATGGAAAGCATTTGGAAGCAGGTATTTTTATAATTGAGTTTGTTGGCTTTTGGGGTGTCAGGGATCTTGGATAGCTGGAGAGATTTTAAAAACTCAGCAGCTAGTAAAATGTTCCCTTTAAATAAATAAAAAGATATTCTCTATGTGTAGGTGACTGCAAAATTTATTGTTCAAATTAGGATACTCTTAAGAGTTAAAAGGGGCATTATTCGTAATTTCACTGTGACGACAGGCATGAACTAGGACTGTGTTGCCTTAAATAACTGGGCAAACAGGAGCTGTTGCAAGCATATAAGAACATACCGTCACCCTTTCTATATGCCACATAGCAGAAAGATATCAACTGGATGAACGCTGGTACACTATTTTTCTAAGTCACTTGCATTAGATCTTAAGTTTTGAGATTTAACAATACAGGTAATTAGAATGCTCTGAACTACCTCTACCCGTCCCCCACCCCACAAAAATTTTTTTTTTATTCTCTTACATCTGGGTTCTCTCAAATGTATTAATTCCTTTGAATTATAGCTGTCTCTTAGCACTCACCATATGCCAGTCACTCTGCTATTTCATGTATTTATTCTTCACAGTCCCTGGTAGATATTTTTATTCCCATTTTATAGAAGAGAAAACTGAGACCCAGAAGGTTATGAGGAACTTTCCTGAGGTTGTAAAGCAAAATGTATATAGCTAAGATTTGAACCGTGGTCTGTCTGAATCCTACAATTTTTGTATAGGCTATACACTCTCCTAATATTTGCCCATTTTAATGCTTAAACCCATCAAAGTACAGTTGTGTCCTGGAGGAAATCTTTGTAAGCCTGTCCACTGGACAGCTTTCTTCAGAGTGCGGGTTGAAGAGATACCAGGCTGCACCCTCCCACCTTCAACCCAGTGTAAAAACATTATCTCTAGTGCCTGCAACTCTTCCACTCTTCAAGGTTTTTGAAGCTCAAGAAAGTCACCCCCCGCTCCTCTCCCCCCACCCCCAATAAATATAACACATTATGCTTCTTCAGCTGCAACCAGCTGAGAGCAAGACCTACAGTAATGGGATATAAGATGGACTCTGCGAGTTGCTGGGAACGTTGGGGGTAGCAATAACAAACACCCGGGAAAGAGGTACAGCGAAGGGGGCTGAAAGGAGGAGAAAGACTTTTCACTGTTTTACCAAGTTCTGCCCCCGCACCTAAAGAACAGAGGTACTTAAAGATACTGTGGTCCGCTTTTCCAAGCCAAAACTCAGAACACATGGTCTGACAGAATAATTTAATTTTTAAATTATGTCAGAATAAATGTATTTGAAAAATCAAAGTAAATTGTTACATGGGTTAGTTAGAAATTATTAAGTCACCTTTTATGAAAAGAATAAAATTGCATGAATCCAGGACCATCCTAGGCAGTTAGGGAGCATGGCTGCTTATTCCCTATACCAATTCCCTCTTTCATCTAGAAGGTGTGTTTTCACATTGTCAGTAGAGAATCTGGCACTTCTGTGCTGTTTGGAGAAGAAAGTGCAATGATTTTCCCCCACTAGTTTGCTGTGCACTTAATTTAACAAAATTCAGCAATGCTGATTGGCAGGGATAATTTGGGAATAATCTTCCTCTCCTTTCCCTGTGCCTACTGCAGGTAGGATCGGAGGGAAGAGGGGAGCTAAAAGAAATACACCACCCTGGAGAGGCAGGCATATGTGGTAGCTGAAATGCTGGAGTAGGAGTCTGGAGATTTGGGTTCTAGTCTCCTCACGTGACCTTGGGAAAGTTGTGTTGCATCTCCGTGCCTCAGTTATCTAATCAGTAAAATGAGGATAATAATGCTGCTTTTATTTCATTTGAAGATAGAGTAGGATGGAATGTGAAAATATTTCAGAAGGTAACCAGCTATGAAAATATAAGGTTAAATTAATAGCATGCTATTCTTATCCCTAAACTGCAAAAATAGGAGAGCCAAAAGGAACAGTAGGTCTTTCTGTTACTGTAATGGCTCATATTGGCATGAGGGAACTAGCAGTTGGGGTAATGGAGTGGTTGCTGGCCAAAAATTAGCAAGTGTGTTAGTCCCCATTGGAAGAGATTTTGAAAGTGCATTCCATTTCCACCTGCTCACTTCTGGTAGGCTGGCTCTGCCATGTGGTTCCTCACACATTCTGATAACTTCAGTTTCCCCAGAGAGTCTCAAAAGGCTACTTTCTTGGCCGGGTGTGGTGGCTCACATCTGTAATCCTAGCACTCTGGGAGGCTGAGGGGGGAAGATCGCTTGAGGTCAGGAGTTCGAGACCAGCCTGAGCAAGAGCGAGACTCTGTGTCTACTAAAAATAGAAAGAAAAAAAAATTAGCCAGTCAACTAAAAATAGAAACAAAAAATTAGCCAGGTGTGGTGGCTCGCCCCTGTAGTCCCAGCTACTTGGGAGGCTGAGGCAGGAGGATCACTCGAGCCCAGGAGTTTGAGGTTGCTGTGAGCTATGCTGACACTACAGCACTCACTCTAGCCCGGGCAACAAAGCGAGACTCTGTCTCAAAAAAAAAAAAAAAAAAGACAAAAGGCTACTTTCTTCCCACTGATGATTTTGGGTGTGGGGGTGGTGTCAAGAGGAAGGGTCCACTGCTGAGGACACATGCTATGAAAACCTGCTCTCTGCCTTGCAGATTGATGACAGACAGCTTCTGGGCTATTTGTCTGAACTTCGCCCAGTGACGATTGTGTTTGTGAACCTGATGTTTAAAGACCAAAACAAAGCAGAAGTCATAGGCTCGGCCATCCAGGATGCCTGCATGCACATCACTTCTGTCCTGAAGGTCTTCCGAGGCCAAATCAACAAAGTCTTCATGTTTGACAAGGTAAACGTGAACTACGGGGGTGGGGACCTACCAGTAGTTGGAGGTCAGCATTCATGGCCGAGCATATTGGTGAGACAGAGGGAATAGATGCTAGAAATTTAACCTAAACATCAGCCTTTATTTATAATTATAATAGCTCCCATGGCGGATATGGCACTCTCTGTGTGCCAGGCACTGTTCTCAACACTTTATCCACAGGGACTCATTTCATCCTCATGGCTACTCCAAGCAGTAGGTGCTCTTGTCATTATCCTCATTTTATAGATAAGGATGCTGAGAAAAAGGGAGAGTAACTTTTGCTCATGATCATCCAGTTAGCAAGTGGTGGGCTGGGATTCAAATCTGCCTTCCCAGCTGGAGCTCACCACCCTGGCCTGCCTTTCATGGTACACACGGTCTCCAGCCCAGCGGATGATGTATTTCCCCGGGAGTTCACGTCAGGAGTGTAGTAACCTTCGCACCCAGAAGTTTGTTTTCAATAATCCCCACCTGCCATGTCAACCCTTCCAGTTCCCCTTTCAGTTTCATTTTTGGCAGGGAGGGGGCTCATCTCTAGCTCCAATGGGTTTTCATTCTGTTCTTAATCAATTCATAGAAAAATAACGTGGTAAACAAATGACCGTGGGAGTATTCGTGAGAATTGATTCTCCATCTCAGGTGTTTTTGTATCTTAAGAGCAGAGCACTTAACTACCGATCCATATCCACTGACTCACTCATTCATTCAATAAGCATTTATTGAGCATTTTGTAGAAGGCCAAAAGCTAGGGCTAGGCAGCAAAGATAAGTAACTCACACATTGCCAGGCAGGTAGGCAGGAAGCACAAATTCCATATGAGAAAAACTAACTGTGCTGTGAGAATGCTGAGGGAGGGATTACTTCCAGCCTGGTGCCTTCCAGTACCTTCTTTCAATATTCATTCATGAGGATAAGAAAAGACCATAGAATCTCAGGAAATAGTCTCTAGCGTTTTGCACCTGGTGCCCACAATTCCTAGCTGTGTGACCTCAGCGAGTCATTGAACTTCTTGGAGTCTTGAATTATTCCTGTTTGAATGGGGGTAGTATTTGCCTCGAATGATTTTGGAAAGTTTTAAACGATGCAATATGCATGCAGCACTCGCTGCAACTTCTCTCTCACAGCCAACATCCAATAAATGAGAGCTGCTAGTCTCGTTGCCACAGTGAGTCAAAGCCTCACTTTGCCAAGACTACGTAAATTTCCAGGCAAAGCAGACCCCTTGGTGCCCCCAAAGGGGGTTGCCCTCTAGTCTTTACACATACCTAGAATTGCGGCTTTTCTTCTCATGTCAAGACATAGCCTAGCCTCTTTCAGGATCTGACACTTGATCAAATTCTTTTGAAGAGGGTTGAAGAAATTGAGGTATTTTAGTGTTCTTTCACATTTCATCAGGATGTAACATGTCAAAAATTCAAATTTTTAACCCATCACTCTTTATTCACTATGCCTTTTTCTTATAGACAATAGCATCTGACCCAGGTCATTTTTTTAAGTTACTGATACCAAGAATGTGCTCAAGGATCTAGAAGGCCACACGTAGCCCCAAGGCCACAGGTTCCCCACCCCTGGTTGGAACAGTTAAGCTTTATACCAAGAAAACCTACTCTCAGCTTAAGTCTTTATCCCTAAGAATAATAACAGTAACTGAAAATACTTTATAGTGTACAAAGCTTCTTTAATATATATAACATTAATTCTTTTAGAAGCCAAAGCCACCTCTATAGAAGGTCTATATTATATCCATTTTCAGGTTGATAAACTGAAGTTCATAGAGTATAACTGACTTATCCAAGTTTCCACAGTTGGGAAGCAGCCTGAGAACACAGATTTTCTGATTCCAGAGCTGGTGCCTTTTCCACTGCTCTGTGCTGCTACTTCGTAGACTTAAATTTAGCACCTTGCAACACAAGACCTTGGCCCCAGGAGAGAGAGAGTAGGCAGGAGCGTGTGCACAAATGCAACTCATCCCTGCAGCAAAAGCAAGCCCCTCTCAAGGGCTCAAGCCCTACTGTTGATGATGCACTAGAAGTTATACGAAGTTTACTAAAAATAAAACAGGTGTGAGAAAAATCATGATGAAATCTAATTCAGAAAGCGAAAATTGCTGCCCACCCGTCCTGTCCGTCGGGGCTTCAGGCTGGCCCGGTTTAAAGCTTGCCCTCCCCCAGCTGTGTCTGCTGACTCTCCCCCTCGCAGGGCTGCTCTTTCCTCTGTGTCTTTGGTTTCCCCGGGGAGAAGGCGCAGGATGAGGTCACTCATGCTCTGGAAAGTGCTGTGGATATATTTGACTTCTGCTCTCAGGTCCACAAAATCCAGTGAGTGTTGACCCTCATCCCACCTGGTGGCCCCTGATACTTTTGAAGGCGAAGGGAGGGGGCGGGGCGCACAGGGAACAGATAAGGAGGGGAACTAAGAATTTAGTTCTGTGTCTCAGGCTGTCCCCCTTCCCATCTCCAGGCCATGCACAATTGCCCTAAACGAATTCCAATGGAGAAAGAATTCTTCATAGGAAATCTCTTCCTGCCCCTTCCCACCCCAGTCTTCCTTTCCCCACCCTGCTCACTTTCTCTGTGCACATTGCCTTTCTCTCTTTCCCCATAACTCTCCTTCCCAGCACTGTGTCCATCGGCGTCGCCAGCGGGATTGTCTTCTGTGGGATCGTCGGACATACCGTGAGACACGAGTACACAGGTGTGCGGAGCCGGCTCATCGCTGCTTGTCTTTCAGCAAACACGGTGCCTTGCCACTGGGCCTTGCGGGAGGAAGCCCCAAAATGAGTGAGACATGGGCCCCAGAAAGTCTGTAGTCTTGCAGATGGAACGAAGCCGTGCAGCTTTACCCATTGACAGTTCGGTGCTTTGCAAACCTGAGTCTCTGAGGCTGTGCGTGAGCGCAGGAAACGCACAGTCATGGGGGGCGGGGACCAGTGGCAGGCTACGTGCTCACGGAGTGAGGGGCTTTTATAATAACTTCTTGCTAACGTTGAACAGTTCCTCCTCTTAATTCCTGGAACAGGTTAGGACCGCTTTTGAAAAATTATGAATATTGGCATTACTGAAAAATAATGATACTCTCAAAAGAGAGTAATAATAAGTAGATGTTATCTCCAGATTTCACGACTGTTACTGTTATTTCTTTCTTCATTCCTTTTAAGATGTTCAACAATGATACATCTAAAATCCTGAATACATTTAAAATACTGAAATACGTTATGTCTGCAATGATACAATATCTGAGATTTTCTTCAGAGTAGCAGAGGGTGGGGAGTAGATAGGAGAGTAGATGGGGCAGGATTGGCCATGGCTGTCGGGATGGGTGATGCATGTATGGAGATTCATGATACTGTGCTTTATTGTATGATCAAATGTCTCCATAATAAACAGTTAAAAAAAGAATATCTCGATTAGAAGGATTCAAGTTTATGTTAAAATGAAACATTCGATACCTAATTTGTAGTAATATTGAGGGTTTACAAGCAGCCAGGCACTGTTGAAAGTGATAAATGTACATTAACTCATTAATCTTCGTAAACTGCCTTCTGAGATAGGTACAATTATCATCCCATTTTATAGATTAGGAAACTGTGGCAGGAAGAGTTAAAGTAATTTGCCCAGCAATTTGCACATAGTAGTTAGAGGTAGAGCTGTGGTTTAAACCGGGACAGTCTGGCTTCAGAGTCAGATATTCTAATATCCCCTAAATCAATCCTCCACGCACACTCTTTCCAGTGCTGTTTGCTAACTCTCAATAAATTACCGAATGAAGGTTCATTCACAGGAGCACAAAGACACAATTTTTTGCCTCGTGTAGGCCCAAGCTTGTGCTTGTCCCCCTTATAGCAGAAGACCAGCTCGACCCTATCTGAGAGCCCTCAGGCCTGTGGCCATCCCACCTACAGAGCCCTCTCCATATGCAAGGCCCTCCTGGCCTTGGGCAGATTATCCTCTTGGCCTCCCAAGTGAGGTAGAAACTTTGCTAATGGCTGAGTTAACTCCCTGCTTATTTTTTTAAGAGCCATTGGCTGATTATGGGTAGTTAAAGGCCAGACTTGTGTGTCATTGATGAGAGGTAAAGGGGGTAAAGGGTAGGATGCTATTTGGGGACAGTATGCCTCAGATTACACTCAGTTCAATGGCTGTTCTTCCCCTGATCTTTGACTTTCTCCTTTCTGTTGTAGTCATTGGTCAAAAAGTCAACATAGCTGCCAGGATGATGATGTCCTACCCAGGAATTGTGACCTGTGACTCTGTCACCTACAATGGCAGCAACCTACCAGCTTACTTTTTTAAAGAGCTTCCTAAGAAAGTTATGAAAGGTGTTGGAGATTCTGGACCATACTACCAGTGTTTGGGCCTGAAAGAGAAAGTGTGAGTGTGGGGCATTGATTTTGCAGTACGTTCTATAAAGAAGAGGGGAGTCATGATAGCAAAGCAATCGGTCGCCCATTTGAGATTTGAAGCCAGTTCACGAACTTGAAATCTATTCTTTCCCCAGACCGAGGCCCAGACTCCAAAATCCTTCGTGTTCCCTCCATCCTTCTGATATCACGGCATGGTGGAAGATCCCATTCTCCCCTCAGGCCTGAGAATCTGAGGGTGATTCTTCAAAGGCTGTGCAAACAGAACAGAGAATCCTTCTATTTGAGTATCTATTTGTACCCAGATGGACCCAATCATCATCATTAAATACTTACTGATTATGCCAATTGAATGCCCAGACATTGTTAGGGTTAAAAAAGTGTAAGATATTATTCCTCCTCTAGGTCTTTAGTGAAATATATTCCACCAAAGCCCAGCTTAGATGTATGGGTGTCACTTTGAAGCTTAAAACCTTTCTGCCGCTTCCAGTCATTTTCATGATAATGTTCGAATTCCTTGCTGTGACGCACCTGGTAACCATGTGCCTTTCCAACCTCATCTCCTTCTGGGCCCCCTCTTCCGGGTTGTTTAAGTATCTTGTCCTCAGCAGCACCCACTCCACCCCTGGTCCACTGGGAAAACCGTGGTTAAGTTTTGATACCCAGCTCCAGGATCTATTCCTCAATGAGGGTGTCCCTGGAACTAACCCATCCCAACTAGACAGTGCAGCTCTTCCCTCCTCTGCGTGACTCTCCAGCACGTGCCTCAGTTAGCGTACTGATCACACCGTATCACAGTTGCCGCCTTGACACGCTTTTCACCTGTTACACTGTGAGCTCTTTGAAAATCCTATTTCTTGTTCCTTCTTATATCCCCAGTGCTTGGCATACAGTAAGTCCTCAATAATGATGTATAAATGAATGGATGAATAGACGAATAGCTCGGAAAGCAGGAAGTTATTGCTCTTTATAATGGCGAGCTAGAATCTCGGTCTTCGAGGATCACGTAACAGAATCAGGGCTGCAGTTAGTTCAAGGTGTCCTTATTATTCACACTTGTATTCTTGAGGCTCAGCACTGCACTTGGCATGCGTAGGCCATCCACGAAGTGTTGTTTGAATAAATGTACGAATGAATAATAATTTTTAGTGAGTGTTTATTAGATGGTAGGCACTTTACCTCAAAATATACAATTTAGTCTCAATATCAACCATATGAGGTAGAAACTATTATCTCCATCTTATAAATTTAAAAACAGAGGCTTAGAGATGTTAAGTGACTTGTCTGTGGTTGGTCATAGCCCTAGCAAGCAGCGGAGCCAAAATTCAACCATCACAGTAACGTACCGTAGAACCTCAGTGGTATGCACAACAACCATTTATTTATGTCACAAGTATGTGGGGTTCAATTGATCTTGGCTGGAATTTAGTGAGCCTGCCTTGTTTTATTCACACGCCTGGGGGTCAGCAGGCTGTTGGCCTGCGACCCAGGATGGCCGCAGCTGGGATAGCCGGGGCAGTCTGGCTGACATAAGTGGGGCAGTTTGGCTCTATGTATCTCATCCTCCATCAGGCATGTTGTCATGGCAATATCAGAGGAGCAAGAACAAGCAGGCCCAATGCACAAGCATTTTCCAAGCCTCTTTGCTAGGTCTTACGTTTGCTAATATTCCATTGACCAAAGCATTCCCAAGGCTGAGGCAAGAGAAGGAGGACACTGCCAAGTTACGTAGTAAGGGGCATAGATATGGGTAGGGGTGAAGAAGGGGGGCCATAATGCAGTCAGTCTACCACACCGAGGACTATCTGACCCCAAAGCCTGTACTCTTCACTATTTTCCTATACCATCTCTGCAGATAAAAGAGTATAGTAGTATACATGCAGATGTGAACAAGGCCTGATTCCTGCCCTGAAAATCCGCAGTCTAATGAGGAAGACCAGCATATACAAAATTAGCTCTATGTTACATGGGAGACTTTGATATGTGCTATAAGAGAGGCATAACAAAGTAGCATGGTAATTCAGAGAGGGAAATAATTCATTCTGACTAAAAGGCTCCATCAAGAGATAGTATTGGCTGGGCACGATGGCTCATGCCTGTAATCCCAGCACTTTGGGAGGCTGAGGTGGGAGAATGGCTTGAGGCCAGGAGTTCAAGAACAGCCTGGGCAACATAGCAAGAGCCCATCTATACAAAAGATAAAAAATTAGCTAGGCATGGTAACTGGAGTCGATAGTCCTAGCTACTGGGGAGGATGAGGCAGGAGAATTACTTCAGCCCAGGAGCTCGAGGCTGCAACGAGCTCGTGCCACTGCACTCCAGCCTGGGCAAAAGAATGAGACCCTGTCTCAAAAAAAAAAAGGGAGAGAGAGAGAGAGAGAGAGAGAGAGAGAGAAAGATAGTCTTATGTAGTAGGCAAGCATGTGAACCCCTGACCCAGGTTTAGAGACTGTCTGTATCCTATGGCAACATTAGATATAGGATCTCGGGCAAGTTAAACTCTCTGTACCTCAATTTCCTTATTTATAAAATGGACATAATAGTAGGATTTCTTAATAATGTTTTTGTCAAAAGGAAATGATATGTGGAAAGCACTTGGAACTGTGCCAGACACACAGCACGTGCTCGACAAAGGTAAGTTAGTATTGTTTGAGCAATTGGTGGAATCTTCCCAGATGTGATTTTCTGCACCACATACAAGTGTGTTGGGTCATCTATTAGGTGTCTGGTTATACCAATGCAGACTCAACTAGCATCTATTGAACAATGTGCCAGGTGCTATGGTAACAGCTGCCATGTAAGTTGTTTGGGTTCTCTATGACCAAGCAAGAATTTCTCCTTTCTCCTTCTCTTGGCATTTATAACCCTTGAGTCAGGGGACAGACTCTTGTTAGAGATTAGAAAGGAGGCTTTCTGGGCACTAAGAACTAGTCACTGTTGCTCTCAATATTTCTCTGCTTCGAATCTAACATCTGTTCTCTTTTTCTTCTCTTCAGCATGTTTGGTATGGCATACCTCATCTGCAAGAGAAATGAGGGTTACCCCTTGCTGGGTAGGTAGTGGTCCTTGATTTTAAACTTCTTTGTTCAACAAAACATGCAGAAAAGTACACCCATGATGCATATGCAGCTTACTGAATTAATCACAGAATGACAATTAATCATCATCCAGGTCAAGAAATAGAAAAATAGGCATACTCCACGAAACCCTATATGTTCTCTCCCACTGCCTTTCCCCAAGGACTTCTAACACCTTAGGTTACTTATGCCTGTTTGAAATTTATATAGTTGAAATCAAGCATTATGCAATTATATATACCTTATACCTTCCTTTACTCAATGGTGTGTTATGAAATTTATCCATATTGTTGGATGTAGCTGTAATTCATCTATCATTACTATGCAGTGTTCCATATTTTATAAGTATACGATTTATTCATTCTGTTGTACAACATTTGGGTTGTTTCCAGTTTTTGGTGCCTGTGAACAACATTGACATAAACATCCTCGCACAAGCCTTCTGGCGAACACATGTATGTGTTTCTGTTGAGTACATACATAGGAATGAAGTTGTTGGGACAAAGGTTACAATTTTGGTAGATTGTGCCAAATGGTTTTTCAAAATGGTATTTATTTATATTCTGACCAACCATGTTATGAGAGTTCCAGTTGTTCTTCATCTTTGCCAACAACTTGGTTTTATCAGTTTTTATAGTTTTAATAATTCTTTTGGGTGTATAGTGGTATCTTATTGTGGTGTCCATTTGTATTGCCCTGATGTGGCTGAGCTCCTTTTTTTAATATATTTATTGGCCATCGGACATCTTCTTTCAACAAGTACCTGTACAACCTTTTACCTATTTTTCGGGTGGGCTATATTTTTATTATAGATCTTCTGGAATTATTTATATCTTCTGGAAATGGGCGCATTGCCATTTGCTTGCCCTGTATGTCACTTTTCCCACTCTGTGCTTTCCTTTTTACTCTCTCAATGATGTATTTAATGAACAGAGTTCTTAATTTTAATGTTTCCAATTTATCAATCTTTTCTTTTACAGTTAGTGCTTTTGCATACTGTTTAAGAAACCTTTCCTCACTCAAAAGTCACAAAGATATTTTTCTAGATTTTTTTTCAGAAATGTTGTTTTGCCTTTTACATTTAAATCTACAATCCATCCAGAAGTGATGTTTTTGTGATTCTTGGTGATAGGAACCCTATCATAAGAAAGCTAACTGGCGATTAGACAGGAAAGTAGACCTGAAATGAGGCAGGGCTACTCCCTAGGAGAGAAGAGACCCAGTGAAGATTGGCCTGTGGATTCTGGAGGCATCCATTTCTAGTAGCACTTGTAATCATTTTCTGTTAGACCTGAACATCCCTGAGAGTCTCATCATAAGTTAAATCCTGGTCATAAGGCCGGGCGTGGTAGCTCACGCCTGTAATCCTAGCACTCTGGGAGGCCAAGACAGGCGGATCGTTTGAGCTCAGGAGTTCGAGACCAGCCTGAGCAAGAGTGAGACCCTGTCTCTACTAAAAATATAAAGAAATTGGCCAAACAACTAAAATAGAAAAAATTAGCCGGGCATGGTGGCGCGTGCCTGTAGTCCCATCTACCTGGGAGGCTGAGGCAGGAGAATCGCTTGAGCCCAGGAGTCTGAGGTTGCTGTGAGCAAGGCTGATGCCATGGTACTCTAGCCCAGGCAAGAGAGGAGACTCTGTCTCAAAAAAAAAAAAAAAAAAGTCCTGGTCATAGCTGTGTTAGAGCAATTCAGAAGAGGCTCTATCCTGCACTTTGGAGGAATGTTAGGCCAGAATCTTGGTGTCAGCACAGGCTAAAGGAAGGCAACAGCTCCAGAACTTCAGAAAACACCTGGGCCAGCAGAAATGCCCCACTTTCACTGTATTCAGGTGGTTTTCAGAGTCTTCATGCAAATCACCTCTTGTAAATCCAGATTCCCAAACTCCTGAAGCTAGAGAAGAAAGGAATAGCCACTCTCACCCTCCTCTGAGGCCATCCTTTCCGTTCCAAGATATGCTTATTTGTGATAATAATTGACAGTAAATGGAATCCTAATCTCCTTTCTACAAGATTACAGACCCAATATGACAGTCACATTAGAACGCATTGGTACAATATGCACACATTTCTCAGTCTGATCTAGTTGTCTTTTGGCTCTGATTCTAGCAGTATGAGGTAAAAATCAGGCCCACATACTTTTCCTTAAAGCTATAGCCAAAAACAGATTATCAGAGGTTAGCAGTGTGGGAGATGCCCTTCTTTTACAAGGGCTCCTGTAAATGAAATTGTAACATAGATGACAACAAAACTATAACAAACGATAGTGGCTTTTTAGGGTCAAAAGTACACACTACAGTCCCAGACATTAGGGTCTCATTTAGAGTTGTATTTCAAGTCCAGTAGACTTAACCTCATCTTAGAATCCAGCCAAAGATAATCTATAATATTTTGCTTGTCTGTATTTATGAATAGAACACAAGGAGCTAAGAAATTCTGCTACCTGGCCTTTTGAGCCTCATTTTCTGAGTTACTACGTGAACCACAGACTAAAGAAAAACACAACACGTCTCACAAAATTGAAGTTCAAATGCATTTTCAGAAAGGGGCTGTTTCGCCCAAAAGAAGCAATATAGTCTGCAGAGTAATTGTCACCAAACCATACACAGAAATTTATATTACCAAGCAAAGCACTAAGCTTCTTTTTATAAAATAGCTTCACTGGGATTAATGGTCCTAGTTTTCAACAAAGACATTACATAATACCTGAATTTGTATTTGCTCTATCAATGAATAACAGAATGGGCCCTCCAGAGTCATCCATCCAGCAAAGAAGGAATAGTTGGCCCTAAATGATTTTCTAACTCTTTACAGAAGTTGGTCACTGCTTTGAAATTATAGTTCTTTCAGTTCCTTCCTATCCATCCAAGTTTCAAAGACTGTGAACTGAATTTCAGATTTCGGCCAGGACATACTGTTACAATGTATTTAAAAACACACAAGAAAAATAACAGTGATGGGGTTGTCACCTAAGGTGATTTTTATTTTGTTCTTTTTCTTTTCCAAGTTTTCCATATTTTCTGCTGCAAACATATGTTGATTTTATAATCAGAAAAAAAACTGCCATTTATTTTTGCTAAAAATTTAGTTTGCTCTCATGATAGAAATAATCTGTACATGATTTTTGAAGGCAAACTGAATTTTCTTATTATTGTTAATATTTCCACTAGCCCTGAAGTAAGTATAATTTTAATTTATTGAGGGCAAGTTTCCTTCATCCCAGAATAAGAAATAAAAATATTTTATCCATAATTGTTCAATATATAAATCCTAACTTTAATAAATTTATTCCCTACTGTTGCAGTTTACAGATAACTTCTAGTGTGTCGTATTAAAAAAAAAAAGGAAAAGGAAAAAAAATAAACTTTGGGTTTATAGCCTTGGTTTAATTTCTGGTTCAGCAAGCTAAGCAAATCTCACTTTTCTACATTATAATTGAATGGACATTATAATGAACATTGTAAGAATACTTTCCCTCACAGCTTGTGGTAATTGAATAAAAATATAAAACCACATTGTTAACTGGAAAGCTCTAGAAGACAATTTTTAAAATTTTAAGAGTGCACATGACTTCAAGAAAGTCCATGAACAATATTGTGGAAATTCTAAGGATATTGTTAGAAAGGGTGTCACTATGTGCTTTTTTATATCTCTAGAATATTTTATATTGATTAAGTTTAATCTTTTTTTAAAAAAAAATTAAAACAACAGGACGTGAAAAGGAAATCAAATACTTTAGGTGTATTATGGAGGAATTCTTGATGTCTAACTGCAGCCGAGTCCTAATGTATGAAGGATTATCAGGATATGGAAAAAGCCAAATACTTATGGAAATTAAGTATCTGGCCCAAGGTGAGAACCACAGGTGGGTGTCTTGGAATTATCATTCCCTTGTGAACTCAGAGAACCCTTACATCCTTAAGAGATTCATTTATTTTGATGTTCCTCTCCCTTATATAACTTACCTTATGTCAACAATCCACAATCTATAATTGCTGGGTGCCATGACTCTTGTGCTAAATAGATAATTTTTTTTAAGAGACAGGGTCTTGTTCTGTTGCCCAGGCTGGAGTGCAGTGGCTTTATCATAGTTCTTTGCAGCCTGGAATACCTGGACTCAAGCAATCCTCCTGCCTCAGCCTCCCAAGTAGCTGGGACTATAGGCGCATACCACTACACCCAGCTAATTTTTCTTATTTTTTGTAGAGATGGGGGTCTCACTACATTGCCCAGGCTGGTCTTGAACTCCTGGCCTCAAGAGATCCTCCCACCTCGGCCTCTGAAAGTGCTGGGATTACAGGTGTGAGCCACTGTGCCCAGCCTGAATAGATAATTAATGATAAACATACTGAACCAAGAAAAAGAGAAACTGGGCTGACCCATGGAAATCCTGATTTAATGCCAGGTAGGGCTTAGGTACTTTAATGCTCCTGAAGTAATCCCAATATGCAGACAGGTTGAAATGCTGAAATCAAGACTAGATTTAGTCTGCGGAGCAAACACTAAGTTTATCCAGCTACCTGACAGGGAATCACTAGTTCAAACCGTTTAGCTGTGAGAGTGGGGATAGAGAATGACAGGTCTCTGGATTTTTGTCGTTTATCTATTTTCATATAAGGAATGTCATGAGGGCTCTCTTTGGGACAATCCACCTGTCACCCTCATGGAAGTGGACAGTACTGTCTTTACCAACTGTGATGATGACCACAACGATGATGATGTCTCCTACCGTTTCACCATCTAACTTAAAGGCTGTAACGGGAAAATTCTTGTTAACCTTACATTATTTTTAGCTGTATTTCTATGTCTCTTTAATGTCAGGCCTGAAAAAGGCCAGTTGTAAAAATATCTTTAACATTGCTGAGGGCATAATTCACAATGACAAGAAGAGATTAATTTATTCATTTATTCAATCACTTATTGAATGCCTAGTATGTTCCAGGAATTGTTAAGTGCTATGTTGGTTAGCCAGGGCTGCTGTAACAAAGTACCACAAATGGGGTGACTTAAACCAGTGGTCCCCAGCCTTTTGGACACCAGGGACTGGTTTCATGGGAGACAATTTTTCCATGGACCGAGGAGGGGGCTGGGGAGAGGTGGAGCTCAGGCGAAGATGCAAGCGATGGGAAGTGGCTGTAAACATAGACGAGGCTCGTGGTGGTTGGCTGGAATCTTTGGTGTTCCTTGGCTTGCAGAAGCTCCGCTCTGATCTCGGCCTTCATCTTCACATAGCACTCTCCTTGTTGTCTGTGTCCAGGTTTCCCCTTTTTATAAAGACATCAGTCATATTGGACGAGGGGCCCACCCTACTCCAGTACGATCTCATCTTAACTAATTACATCTGCAACGACCCTATTCCCAAATAAGGTCACATTTTAGGGGGGACACAAATCAACCCATAATAAGTACTAAAGCCCTGAATATGAATCATATCTGATCCCTGCCCTCGAGGAACTCTCACAGGAGAGGAGAGGAGAGAGTTAACAGTAGGAATCGAATGTGGCGAGGGCAGTGACAGAGACCTGCAATGGAGGTTCGTGGAAGCTCAGAAGGAGGGTATGTGACTCAGCCTGGGGCACCGAGGAGGGTTTCTAGGAGGCCACATCTGAGCTGAGACTTCAGATGAACAGTGGATGAGCTGTGAGAAGTGATGGTATTCTGAGCTGAGGAGACAGCTCTGGGTATGCAGGGAGCTCTCACCTGCTTATTGTTGCTGGAGGGTAGACTGCTAGGCAGAGAGTGGCAAGAAATGACAGAATGAGGCTCTGAAAAGTCTTGTACGTGTCTCCCATCCAAGGACTAACCAGGCCCGACCCTGCTTAGCTTCCAAGATCAGACGAGAGCAGGCACATTCAGGGTGGTATGGCCGTAGATGAAAGTCTTGTATGTCACCTACAGGAGTCTGGGTTTATGCCTTTCGACAATGAGCACCACTGAAAAATTTTAAATAGGAGAGTGACACAAGGAGACTTGCATCTAACCAGATCCTTCAGGTTTCTGTGACAGTGATGCCTTCCGAGGGCCATGACCCCCAGAATCGTGGCATGCCGTTGTGGTAGTGTCGGTGAGAGTGTGAGGACCCAAACCAGGGCAGCGATGGTAGGACTAGAAAGGAGGGGAGAGTAGGTTAAACTATTCAGGGTTTAGGATTATAATAGAATGAGGCTGTGTTATCAGAAGCAGGAATAATGAACGGCTTTCAGATACCTTGGTTCATCTCCATCATTGCAGCCGAATGTGAGGAGTCAGAGCTTTCCTTCAACCTTTATTATTTTCAAAAAAGATATTTTAAAACTCTCTTTTGTTTCTTGATTTTCTCGTAAACAGGACTGTTGCCATTGCCTTGACTAAGATCAGCTTCTGTGAAACTTTTTATACCATCCAGATATTTATGGCCAGTGTACTAGGTCTGGATACTTGTAAACATTATAAAGAACGGCAGTCCAACCTCCAAAATAAAGTCAAGACACTGTTGGATGAAAAGTTTTACTGTCTTCTTAATGACATTTTCCATGTCCAGGTAACTAGCTACCGTTAGACTTCTGCAAGAAATAGCCATGGGCAGGCATGGCAACTCCTCCTTCATGCTTTATGACTTAGCATCTCTTTGACCTTTATTATCCTTTTTTTTTTTCTCATCTAGAGCATCCAGGTGGTTAATAAGTGGCTCCCAATCTTCCTTGAATGTGTATCCCCATTCTTGAGGTGTATTGGAGGTATCTAGAAATACCATACTCAAGAAAATTCAAATGGCCACCTGCTGATTCATTTTTTTCTCACCTTTTCCATCATAGTGATACTATACTAGGTGGTCTGGGGCACAAAATCACTCTGTTCCCACAAGTGCCTGTCAATGCAAAGACAGAGTGTGCCCTGTTCTTTCCTGTATCTATTAGATTCAATGACGTGACTATTAGAGCTGGAAGGGACATTATAGATCATCTAACACTTGAAGATTTTAAGGCAAAGAACAGTTAAGTATTTCGCCCAAAGTTACCACAGCTAGCAGCTCCCTTTGCTATTTTCCCATACTCAGTATTCTCATAATTCTTTGTACAGTTCCCTATTTCACGAGAGATTTCCAGAATGAGCACCTTGAGAAAGCAAAAGCAATTGGAAGCATTGTTTATGAAGATCTTGGAGCAAGTAAGAACATCTGTGGGTCAAGCAATGGGGGGAGGAAAACTGGGTAAATCACTACAAAGCCAGGTGGCCGGAGGGGTTCAGACTCCATTGGCAAGAAGTTTTAAAGTTTGTGAAAGCTTTGTCCTAAAGGGCTTAATTCTCCTCCATCCTCCCAAACCTCGAGCTAAGAGTCTGTTCAGAATTTAGGTATCCTTGAAAGGAGTCCCTTAAGTCTGGCCTCTCCCAGTGCTCTTTGTTCCTGCTCCATGTGTAACATACCACAGCAGTTACGCGTGCAGGCTCTGTAGCCAGACTACTGAGACTTGAACCCCTAGGCCTATCACTTGTACCTGAGCAACCTTGAGCAAGTGACTTAACCTACGCTTCTGTTTTATCATCTATCAAATGGGGGGAAATAGTAGTACCTAGCTCGCACGGGAGTAAGGTTTAGATGCGTAGATGATATATAAAAACTTAGAACAGTGCCTCTTTCATAGGAAACACTCAAGAAGTGTTCACACTCTCTCTGAGTAATCTTGTGATTCCAATTTTCTACTATATGTTGATGATCACCAAATTCATATTTTGGTTCCCACCTCTCTTCTATGCATCAGAACCATTTTCCTAAGAACCCTCTATATACTCCACATGGATGTTGTAACTCACACAGAGTTCAATGTCTAACAGCAAGGTCATTTTTTTTCTGCTACAAATCCCTTTCTTCTCCATCCTGATCCTGACCCTTGATTTAGTTAATGGCAAATTATGCATCATGCATCATTTAAAGTTATCCTTGCCTCCTCCCTCACCCATATCCCCCACATCTACTCAGTTGCCAAGTCCTACTACTTCTGCCTTGGACCATCTCTGAAATCCCTTCGTCCTCTGTTTCTCACTGCAGTGAAAGCTGGGAAGACAGTTTCTTCCGTTGAGATATCTCACACGATGGGAAGGTGGGGGCTGCAAAGCAAGCAGCTGACTCTAAAATGCAAGCTCCGTTTTTTGTTTAAGACTGTATCTCCAGCACCTAGAACAGTACCTGATGCTAATAGATGCACAATAAATGCTTCATGAGTAAATAAATAATTCCGACTAGTTAGGGAAGGGTAGTCTATATGAGAAAATGATCTGCTTTTGGGTGTAACGTATACCACAATTTGAGCTAGACTAGTGTAAACTGCCAGCAGGGCAAGGACTAGATCAGTTTCCTTTAGCACCTAGTCCAGTGGGTGCTCAGCAAGCATGTGTTTAATATGTGTGAGTTGAATAAATGTCACGTAGACATCCCCAGGAGGCCTTCATTGGTCAGTAGATTAAAGTGACTTGTAGTTAACATATCAGTTATTTTTACGTAATGGAAACTTTTACTTGGCTTTTTTGGTTACCTCTACAACTCCATTTATCCTACAAATTTGCATTACTTTTACACAAAAATTTGACCAAGTAAGAGTCCATTCCAGCCAACTATATCCAAATTGCCACAAATCTCAAGTTAATGGAATGTAAATTAATACAAAGTTTTTGGAAATAAAAAGATTTAACTTAGCTGGTTCTTTCTCTTCATCAGCAAACCACAAAACTCAATGCATACCCATATATACAGATAAAAACCTGAATTCCTACAGCACTTTTCTTTCCGTTTCGCTATCTTGTCCAGACAGTGAAAGAGGAAAAGATTATTTTCATCATTGACGAGGCCCAGTTTGTGGATTCGACCTCCTGGGCCTTTATAGAGAAGCTAATTCGGAACGTTCCTATCTTCATCATTATGTCGCTGGCTCCCTTCCTCGGCAACCCCTGTGCAGCGGCCCATGCCATACTGAAGAACAGGAACACCACGTATGTCACCCTCGGGGCGGTACAGCCTAAGGACATCCACAACAAGGTTTGTCTAGACCTCAATGTGAGCAGCATCCCCAAAGAACTGGACTTGTAAGTAACCTGTTTCTAACCTGAGGTCTCGATGTCCACATTCATTCCCCAGGTCCAGACTTCATCAGATTCTTTAGTGTGTGCCTATTGTACTGCCTACTTCAGTATTTTTGCTGGTCCCACCTTTTAAAGGGGCCATTCATTGGTTGGATGGATGTTGCTCACCTTTTCCATGTTCTGTTCCTGCTTCACCTTCTCAAACTGTGCTTAGTGGGTCTGTTTCCCTTTCATTGTGGCGGGTATGGGTATACTCACTTTAATCAACAGTGACTAAGAGCAAGTAAGAGTTGTCATGGGCAAGTTGCAGGAGGCAACCTGGTAAGCATTAAAGACTACGACCTACAATTAAGCAAGGGCTCACCTGGCTAGCAGTAGTGTGGCCTGGTTTTGGTGTTCCCTGTCTCTGGCAGATGTGGAAAGCTGACTCTCTGGTGAGTGCTCTCTGAGTTTTTCAGGGACTTCTCTACTGGGGTCTTGACAGCAATCCCCTTAACAATACAGATGATATCTCTTCTTTAGCTGGCTGTTTGCAACTTACCTTGGTATCTGCATCTGTTCTTTCTAATGAGGTTGCCCTGCTTCTGAAAGAAAGATGTCTTGGACAAAGGTTTATTTAAGATAATCAGGGTAACTCTAGGCATAAATTTGACACACACTCTCTCTTTCTCTCTCATTATAAATATATGTTATATATAAAATATATGCATTAACCTTTTGATCTAGCAATCCCACTTCTAAGAATCTATCTTAAAGATATATTGACAAAAATATGAAGTGACATGTGGACAAGGTTTTTATTGGGACATTGTTTGTATTAATAAAGGACTAGAAACAACCAAAGGTCAATCCCTAAGGAGATAGGTTGAATAAACTAGGATGCGTCCACATAATAAAAAGAAATGAGAAGGATCTGCTGATGTGGAAGATCACTGGGGTATATTGTTGAGTGGAAAACAAGGAGCAGTCTGGTATGCAGTGTACATAACCTGCTGTCTTTTGTTTTAAAAGGCGATGAAGTCAGGGTGTATGTGTGTATTTGTTTATATTTTTGAAAAGAAATATTGGAAAGGTAAACCAAAAGCTAATCAAAATGGTTACCTATAGGGTGAGCAAGGCTGAGGACGTACCTTATTATATAGTTTTGGCTTTGGAAGGATATGTTTTATGTAACTTAAAAAGTTAAATAAAAAGAAAAAGCCGTCCCAAAAAATAGAAAACAAATGGAAACGAATGAAGAATGAGACGTTACTTCCGAGTGATTGAGAATACTCAAATATTTTTCCTTCCTAAAAGGTGGCTCTTCAATATAAACAGGTTGCCTTGTTTTCACCACAGGTACCTGGTGGAGGGAAGCTGTGGGATTCCATATTACTGTGAAGAATTGCTAAAAAACCTGGACCACCACAATGTTTTCATTTTCCAACAAATGGAGCCTGAGGAAAAGACAAATATGACCTGGAATAACCTGTTCAGTGAGTCCTGCAGTGACGGTTCTTGCTCACTCTGTCCTTCTGTGTTAAAAAGTCCTTATGCGGGGGGA